ACGGGTTCATCTTCAAAAGTGGGCACTGTAAAAGTCTGAACAAGAACTGTTTCCATCAAGAAACAAACATGGTATTTGCTTTTTGTCCTAGGTATCCAAAGTTTTTCTAGGCGCCCATGCCCTACTGGCTAATGGCTACGTTATGTCAAGGGTTGGGTCATCAGTCATCACCATGGTAGCCAAGGCTTACAATGTTCCTGTGCTTGTCTGCTGTGAGACATACAAGTTCAGTGAGCGTGTGCAGACAGACAGCTTTGTTTTCAATGAATTGGGTAAGTCTCAAAATTTTTCCACCTCACAGGAAAAAATATTTCCTTAGTCGGGGCAGAACTGTTTTTACTGCTTATCTAAAAATCTGTTGTGAAAACCTTATATGCAATTGCTAGACAAAATCCACTTTTTGCCAAGATGAAGTGCGCCTCAGCGACTACAAGAGTTTTGTTCACATAAGTATCATTAGCCAATAGCCAATTCAGAAATGTATCCAGAATTGGACCCATTCAGGATTGCAGACCCATTGATATCCAAAACAAATGAAGAGTTTTGGAAATCTTCCTAAAACATGTGTTCATGTCTTACCAGGTGACCCAGATGACTTGGTCAAGACTGGAAAACCAATGCAGTATCTAAACAGCTGGAGAGATGTTCAGTCACTGACGTTGCTGAACCTGGTCTATGATGTCACCCCGCCAGATTTCATTTCCATGGTGATAACAGAGATTGGAATGTTGCCCTGCACGTCAGTGCCCGTCGTCTTACGAGTCAAGAATGTGGAAGGCTAGCAATTCCAGGCAAAGTGACTGAACATCTTCATGCAGTATTGGTTTTATGGAAAACTGTAGAGGGTGCTATTCACGAAAGCCATTGGGAGCCTCTAACAGTACAGTGACCCTCTGACAGGCCATCATCGGGAATTCAACACCAAAGGGTTAATTAAGCCTTATCCCCAAAAAGGTCTTTTCAAAAAGGATTTTAAAATACGGAAACAAGACAAGGGCATATGTATTTGTTCTATAATTGTTCTGGGGTTACTTTGGTTATTTTTTCACTTCTGTAAAAATGAGAATTTATCATAGTTCAGCAGTAATGTGCACAAGGAAAAATGTGGATCACTGCTTCATTTTCCATGCTAAAAAAGCAATTCTGACACTCTAAACAATTTCAAGGAAATATCAGTTATTTTATTGTTATGTATTTAATAGATTTCTTTTTCAGCTGAAGATTAGTAGATGTTAAAACTATCCAAGCAACCCACCACATGGTTCATGATGAATACTAATTTACCAAAAAAAGTTAACTCACACCTTTTGACAAAAAAAAAACTTCAAGCAATTGCATTAAAGTTGTAAACCTTGACACTGTAAAGGCAAGGAATGAGAACTGGTAACCTTTGACCCTTTTTCCTTGAAACAAGAGGTATGCATGTTTACAAGAGAAATCCAACTTCAAATTGCCCAGGTTAATAAATTGCTCAATGCATAGTCAATATAGTTATACAGAACATTTAAAATTGCCTTTTTGGGGGAGTTCAGACAGTGCGCATCTAATTTGGAAGTGCATTATGCCAAGGAATAAATTTACCCAAAACACTGTCTTTGTGAAAGAAACTGTCAGTTTCATTGCATTCTTGCTACACTCTATTCTAACATCTTTTTTTTTTAAATAAATGCATCTTGCCAAGAAAAGTTAACATAAATGGGATATTAAACTGTTACCAACTCGACAAATGCTTACCACAAATTTGCAAAGTCACTGCAAACACATATTGTGTAGATGAGAACCATACCCTTCTTTAAAAATTACTCCAGTGTTACACTTCGCTTGAGGATTAAAGAATATTAAAAATAATTATTACCCGACAAGCAGACCAACGTTAATTCTGTGTTGAAGTAGGGTGGCCTGGAATAAATTCAAGCTTTCTAACTCATGGCTCTCGGGTTTTTAAATGAGGTAAAGACAAACATCGGCAGCCAATTTCACAAAACTTTAAGCAGTGGCGTAACTTCACTTACGCCACATTTTATTGCATAAGTTGTGCAATACATTAAGACCAATTTCACCAAACTTACGTAGCCATTTTAGGTGCCAAAGTTGCACCAACAAAGATCAAAGATTTGACTAGCATATCGTGTTTGGTTAAGCCTCATCACTGCTGAACTTAACAAGGCTTATACGAGAAACGTATTACTTTGTTGTAGAAGGAAATGAAAAACTTGTTTGGCTGTGAGAGAACTGCAAGATTTTATGTCCAGTTCCGATGAAGATGAAAACCTTTTCAAAATGGGGGTTGAAGGTGATTCAACCACAGTTTGATGACTGTTGTTATACACTGGAAAGGAACAGCCATCGTAAAAGCCATTTTTGTCCTTGTCCAAGAATTTTGATGTTTTTGTGAAATTGAACGTTAGTATCTTGCGCAGCTTGGGCATAAATTTGTGGCGCAACGCTTATGTATGGTTCCAGTTATGCTACGTTTCATGACATTGGCTGCTGTAATTGCCGAAAAAGACTAATTTCTGTACAGTCATTTGAATAATATGTCATTTTAACGATTCTAAATTACTCTAAAGACAAAGGTATCGTGCTCAAAGTTATAAGAACATGACTTTGTCTTTGGAAGTAGCTTTAGTGAAAAGAGCTTGAATCTGTGCAAAGACAGTGTTAGGATCCTGAGACGCATCCACTTTTTGCAAGATGTTCTTCTTCTTGTAGTAATCAATCAATGGAGCAGTCTGCTTATGGTAGGTTGCCAAGCGAGACGTCAGTGTCTCTTCATTGTCATCAGAACGCTTAATAAGGGGTTCACCAGTAACCTGCAGCAGACAAGATGTCAAGCAGTAAAACCAGGAATTGTCATGACGTATCATTTAAGAACTCTCATCCTTTGATACGTGATGTAAATGGTCACTCAGCATTTTGATTCAAAAGAAACCTGAGTTTATAAATGCTGGCAAGTAAATCCTTCAAACTACTGATAATAGACACCATCATGGCAGCCGTGTTGTCATTTATGACAAGGGAATTTTATTGGCTACTCACATCATCCGTCATAGGCACTTTGGGTGGGTTAAATTCTTCATGGTAGCTCCGACCGCTCGCTCTGTGGATCAGACGACCACAGATTCGCTTGATAAGAAGTGAATCATTAATGCTGAATTCCACAACTGCATCAAGTTGTTGCTTTCTTGTCTCCAGCAAGCTGTCGAGCTGTTTTCCATTAAAAAAGACAAAAGACAGGAATCTTTTTCTGAATTGTAGATTTTTAAAAGAATGAACCACTCTCTATTATTAGATAACTTGTGTAGTAATTGGCTTTAACCACTAGCTGTCGGTTGGAATTTGAACTTGCATGATCTAAAACTGGGAGATTTTCAAGATTTTCCGTTTTCAAAATTCTTCAAAAATTCATAGCTTCATTTCTGGATGTTTACACAAACATGAATAACTGTCTAGTGACTTCTCTAATCTGACAGACAACATCCATTGACGCCTGATTATTTCAGCCAGGCCTGCCTCCTTGTAAAAAGAGCCCAGATTGTGCGATGTTATGTAACTTTCTTGTTCCCCCCCCCCCCAAACTGGCACTTTTTCACTAAGGGCCAGATTAGCATGCAGCGGTATTGTATCGCTCAACACTGGAGTGCTGGAGTGCTTTTGTCCCCTGTGGTATTCCGCTCATGCTGAATGCCACACACAGTGGTATAATCTCCCAAAAATGGACGGATTTCCTCCCCTACTGACAACTGAAAAAATGTTGGCATTTCCCAGCAGTTCGGTCTTTTTTTACAAGGCCCAGCTCTTTTGTCTGGTTTCATGCTCCCTGGTTTTGTGTATAAAGCCTATGTACATGAAACCAGACTCCCTTGCAGCATATGGTTAAAGGGTAACAGAAATTGAAAACATTTCGTTCATGTGAAGTATTTCAAAATAACAATAAATAGTAACCATTTCAAACACATCGTAACTTTACTGTTTACCCCATTAATTGTGACCCTGTAATGAATCCTGCATTTCCCCGCCCCAAAACTCCCCTTTTGGCTGTTCGCACTCACAGGCTGATTGGATGACTTCATCACCAGAACGCTAACATGTATTGTACGGTGTACACCTATAATGCAGACAGCACATGCTGTATCGCACGCTTGCCAGACCACACTGTGTTTGATCATGGTTCGATGTAGCTTAGCCCACAGGCAAACACTGTCTCAGTTCAAGGTAGAAATTAAAAGACACAGTCCTACCATGTATTTCTTAAACTGATACCATGTTTACCTGTGGGCCAAGCTACATCAAAGACAACATGGTCATCTGCAAGCGTGTGATACTACATGTACTGTGCGCAATTTATTTACTTGGTATTTAAATTATTTACTTCATTTACTGTCTGGTCGCTACTCTGATCTGACAGGCAACATCTACTGACCCCTTGGTATTGCAGCCAGGCCTGCCATCCAGTAAAGAGAGTGCAGAATTATGCAAGTTGCGTAATTTCCTTTGTTCCTGAAATTGGCCCAGTGCATTGCTAAATGGCAGTGGTGTCTTTACAAATGCAGCCAGATCAGTGTGCAGTGGTATTGTATCACTCATGGATGGAGTGCTGGAGCTTTTTTGCCTCAACTGATAATCCGCAGGCGCTGAATTAAGCCAACAGTGGTATACTGTTTCAAAACAATGACGGAACGGTACCTCCGAAAATGCCAGCACTCTGTGCTGGAAATTTGTTGCATTTCCCAGCAGCTCGGTCTCTTGTTCTGAGTTCGATCTTTTGTTACGGGGCCTAGTTCCTTTTGTCTGATTTCAGGCACCCCGGCCATGCATATAAAGCCAACTTATCTTGCTCTGAGAACAGTTAGACTAGCCCATTTCAGCTTACCATTTCTGCCTGAACCACAGTCCTTGGGAAACCATCCAGCAGAAAGCCATTGGAACACTCCGGTGTATCTAGCTTATTGTCAATCATCTTGACCACTAGTTCATCACTGACCAGCGCCCCGCTATCAATGACCTTTTTGACTTCTTTCCCAAGATCTGACCCTGATGCAACCACTGCACGCAACATGTCACCTGTCGCTAGATGGCAAACACAGAACCGCTCTGCAAGTTTAGGTCCCTGTATGATTGAAATGTAAAAACAGAAAAACATATCATGAAGATTCAAAACCATGGAAGCCAAACCTGGGTAATCCAGAATATAGACAGATCAAACTTTACCCAAACTACAGGTATTTCCCTCCAAAACCTGACTCCTGGGCATACATCCTGTTTGACTATTGCCAAAGGAAATCTACCCTACATGTATATATATTTTGCTATATGATGAGTTCAGGCGATAAATTTGTGTCAAACAAGTCCAATGTCACAGAAGGAAACACAATACTGATGGCTTCTAAAGATGTCACTTACCGATACATGTACATGAACATGTGAACTGCAATTTGGATGACCAAAACAGAATGCAGCTATTTCCTCCACTGCATTACATTTGTGTTTCATCACATTTTAACCATTTCAGAGAAGCATGTGATACTGGGTGCATGTCCATGCAGTGTGTTTCCAATCACACCTTTCCTTTTTTTTACACATTCACGTGAAGTTCTGTCACATGCAAATTTACACCAGGAGAAATGCTTGATTTCTTTTTAAAATGATCATAAAATGATCATATAACAAACAGTGTGAAGACTGGTTGTGCATTTTAAGTGTTTCTTTAGTCCTGGCATGCTTTGACTTAATGCACCCTGTGAATGTGCGCACTCATACAGGCCTCCCATTGCCATGGTAACAGGCCACCCATTGCCATGGTAACTGCCAATTACACAAATGAAAATGTACAACATCGAGCACAAATGACAAAAATAATTAAAAATCCCTGTCACAGAACTTCAACCATCCATAGATACCTTCTCCCCATGTCCATGTTAACTTTACAATATAATCTACAACCACATGTATCATACAATGTATTAGCAGAGTATCTAACAAAAGGCAAAATATAAACTCAGTTTAAAATCCAAACCAAACATTTGGTTTGTTGTTATCCATACTAAGGGTTACCAACCTAAACAATCATACATGTAATTTTTCTCCTACATGTACCTCTTGTTATCAAAAAATATAAATTCGTGCAGTACCAACCCCCATGATCCTTGAGCCTAGTTTCTGTGTACTCTGTACAGGTGAATATTGTTGCTTTTTTAACCTAAGATAGAAAGCTCTGGTGTTTACCGCAAGCTTTCCATCTTAGTTGTCTGTCACCATGAATAGCTTGAAATCCCACCTTTTTTAACCTGTTGGCTTAACTTAAAAAAGGTTCTCGCTGACTTAGGTGGGTACTCACTGTCCTAAATCTTGACATTATTCAACAACTAGTGATCACAAAGGTTATGTGTTGCCGGCGTCTCCTTGGTGTCTCACATGGGTTCCCACTTGATCCACCAATTGGGGGATCTGATCCACCTTTTGCCAAATTGCCGAATCAGATCCCCCAATTGGTGGATCAGATCTGGCAATTGTTTGTACATGTAGTTGGAACGCTAACCATCATAAAGTGGATCAGGATCAGATCCACCTTTCTTGATCCTCTTCTGGATTAGGATACAGATCCCCCAATTGGTGGATCAGATCCTGCAATTGGCGGATCACGTTCAGATGGGAATGCAAAAGGTGGATCTGATCCAGCAATTTGACCTGTCAACATCCGTCCGTGCACGAGTGGCGCGAAACTTTTGCGGTCTGATGATGAACAAAGAAATACATTTTGGACATGTAGCTCATGTGAAAATTTTTAACATACCAAGCATGCGCAATAAACAACTGCTGAACTACGGGCTAGCAAAATGTGTCACCATGCATGCGCGATGAATACATACCGCGATGTGTTCCTAGCCCGTTCACAATTTTCATTGCGCATTTGTCCGTTTCTTAACCTTTTTCATTTGTGTGATTTCACTTGCTCTCCATCAAAAAACTAATTTTGTGTTAGCGTATAACCCGTAGTGTGTAACAGAGTATCAAAAAGGGAAGCAAAGTTTGAAGAGACAATGTACTAGGCTGAATATTCAGTTCCAGGTCGTCACGTCAGTAGAACTCCGCACCCAAAGAACCGCAAGGGTCACACGCATGCAATGTGACTCATCCCAGCACGCAACACTGCCACAAGCGCGTGCTCAGCAAGTTAGCGCATGCACAATACCGAACTCACTGACCTTTCGGGCTCGACATGTCCGTGCGAAAAGGTGGATCAAGCGTAAGCGGGAATGCAACTTGCGGTTTTGTTGCCATAAGATAACGATCACACCAAAATGACAGATCAAGATCCACCTTTTCCCAGTTCAAGTGGGAACGCACTGTCGGAGGCTGGTTTGTTATGTTAATTTAGTTACAATTAATGCACAAAAGGTTTACTTGAGCCTATCCCAGTGATACAAAGCTCCTGCCCTCTGAGGATGGCTGCTTTTAACCTCTACACAATGCCTACATGTATATGCATTCCTTCAGATATCAATTGTCATTTTGTGAAAATGCACTATTATGTAGGGTTAGGGTTAAAGATTTAAGGCCAAGCAAAAATATAACTGCATTTCCTTTTCAAAAAGGTGTGATTGCTTGCTCTGTATTTTTTAGCCCAAAAGTAATTATGGTGAAATGATGGTAAATATTTGTAGTAAAATGTAGTTATCAGTGCTGCCGCTTGTAAGAGGACATGACCGTATTGTTCTCTGAAGCCATAAAATACAATAGAAAACACAATGTACCATACATGTACAGTGCTGTGGCACTATGAATGCAAGGCTTTATTGTTCTCTGTATGGGTAACAATGGAAGTAACCTCGCCAGAAGTAGTAATCTGTGGAGCTAGGTCTTTCAGGCTCTGGCTATTTATATACTTAGTATACTACATGTATATACTTAGTATTTTGTAGTACAGAGTACTGTAAGCCAAACAATATGCTTGGCAGTTAGGGTTAATATTGACACTGTGCATACATGTACACCAACTTATGTGAAAGTACATCAATACTAGGATCCCTACCCCTGCCTACCTGGACACCCTTCCCTGCCCCCGGTGGCCCTAGCAACACTGCAAGGATGCCTTTCTTCTCTGGAGGTTGGCCCGACAACTCCTCCTCATCCCCCTCCTGTCTCAAATCACTGACATCTCCTTTGATAGCTGCCATTGTAAGGTTTGCTCAGTGTCCGTGTATTGGATAATAAACCACAGCTACATGTATCCTCTACTTCCTTCTACACGGGACTGCACTGCATGAATTGGAATATATGTACATGTACAGTACAGTTCACCAGGGTGTAGCTGTGTCAGACCAAAGCCACTGACATGTACATAAGTAGGTGTTACACCCCAACTACAGCATCAGTCCCAACTACAGTTTGGCCCTTCCCGACTATAATTGGGCCCGCCCCAACTACGGGTAGAGTGCTACAGTTGGGTCGGCCTTACTACATGTACAGCACAGAGGTCCGGTGTGCATGTGCCCAGCATGTGCCAAAGTCATATTGTTTGCAATTTCATGTCAAAAATGAAGTGTCATATTTTAGATGAATTGTGTCAAGTACATGTAAGAGATGCATAAACTTGGGCAAGGTTGACAAATTTTCTACAGGGTGCACCCTCGTATTTAGGCCAGAAATATGTCTGCCAAGCTCATTAATAAAGGTTATACACTCAAAATATTCTATATTAGAGGGTCCTGAGAGCCATGGAACTGAGGAATTCAAGAAATATGAGACTGGACCTGTGGGCCGGACTCAGGGCTTCCAATTCTGAGCAATTTGGATGCAATCGGGTTTGAAAGTGGCACTATTTGAGCCATTTTGCAGAGGGATGCATTTTCAAAATGGATACTTTTCTAGAGAGGGATATTTTTTGCATTTTAGGGGTGGTCTGCTTCTGGTGAAAATTTCTCAAAAATTCATTGGTCAACACCCTCCGAAATTGAAAGGACAATGAAAGAGGACATGTGGAACATCATTTTTCTGTGTAGCCTGAACATCTGTGAGAGTTGTGAGTATTTTTAAAATATTTGTGAAGTATGGGGATTTATCACTGCTGTCTATGGGAATTTATTTCTAGTGGTGCACCCTATAGAAATTGGTCAACAATAGTTGGGCCAGCTCAACTGCAGCACTACAGTTGGGACTGTCCCAGCTATAGTTGGGACAGATGCTATAGTTGGGGCGTAACAAAGGTATCTGCTTTTAGCTATGTTGGGTATTCATAGACCGCCAAGCATGCAAATACCGGTATGTATGGAGAGCCTTAGAAATCAAATGCATTGCAAATCAATTACCAGAATGTGTATGGACTCTATGGAGAGCCCTGTGTATCAAGTTTGGCATTTGTGATTTAGCGTACAGAGCTGTGCACCTACATTAATTAAGTTGAAGGGAAGCAAAATGGTATGAAGTAATGAATTAAAAATACATGCAACTTATGGATGCAAAATTGTCCAACTTCTTGTTGAAAATGTAAAATCACTCAACTTTTATTACTTTTGATATTTGTTAACTGTTACCCTAGAACTATGGGGTTCGTTATCTGCCACACTCCCACACAATGTAACAAAATGTTTAATAGAGTGAGTTTTGATTAAGCCTGAGTCACTATATTATTCACAAAGGAGCTGGATCACCAACAAGCCTACTGTAATGAGTGTCATGTTTTTTCACACATTATAGGAAATTCATGTGCCTCAGACAGTGTGCCTGAACATTTAATAATGCCCACTGCATAAATCACACACTAATACCTGGATACAAGACAGTTTACTCATGAGTCTGCATGCAAAGCAGCATGCAGAAAGTGCTACACAAGCGCCAAGTCAATATACAAGCCTTACAAGGAGATTCTATTGGACAACTTGCAATAGGAATACATGTACACTATAAAATGGATGGGGGTGTGCCGGAAAATGAGAGTAAAATTCTAGAAGAAAATCGTTGGAAATCCATCATATGTTGACTTCTTTGACTCTGAATAAAAAGGTATTTCTGAATGGGAATAATCAGCTTGGCCAGGCCAATCTTAAACCAACGTTGAAGACCGGCCAAACACACATTTATTCCCGAGGTAAAATACTGGTACCAGCATGTTATTATTAGTTATCAAACAAGTGCAATTGAAACAAAGAACAACGTAGTACGTCTCTGTCCAATATACCACAAGGCCTTTTTTTCACTCACTGGTCAGTAGGTATAAGTGCCTTGTCAACAAATTTCTGTGAACTCCAGTTTTGTTAAAACTTACAGTCTGCTTAAAAATCTGGTTATGGTACTTTACCCAAAGGTCAGTACATGTACCTGTATCTCTTGAGAAGCTGCCTTTGCTGCAGGTGCATTAGGTACTGTATACTACATGCACCTGGGCTTAGACAATGCTTAATGTGGTTTTAATAAAAAACTTGATTAACCCTAACCCCCCTCAACCCTCAAAAATCATAATGCTGGTTTTTAATGATTTTGTAGGATTGAAGATGAATAACAATTGAAGCAAATGATGATATCGGAGGATTGAGGATGAAGATAATTGAAACTGATGATGATTTTGGAGGACTGAGGATGAATGATAAAAAAGAGATAAT